CCAAAGGTTTGGATAACAGTCTAGAAGAGGCAGAAGAACAACTGACCTGTGGTATTGAACCAGAATCTTTAGCGGATTCTGCTCCATCTGCTAACTTCTCCCCTTTGGATAAGCCTCCTGTCGTCAGTGCAAAGCAGGATGATCAAACCAACAGTCAGGATGAGACCAATACCAAGGCAGAGGGAAGAAAATATAGATTTTTCAACATGTTCAAATAAAAATTATGTTTCTGCCAAAAGTCACAAGTAAAAGTATTCTTCTGTTAATTTTATTTTGATCCCATCTTTGGTACTGTTCATCTTTAGGTCTGTTTCAGTTTTGCTTGCCAAAATGTAATATAAATAAATTGAATAAATCAGTTGTGATATATTGCTGTTCATTTCATGTCTCCAGAAAAAATATTTTAAAAAGGCCAACTACAGACATGTGTGATTTAAAACAGCCAGAATAAATTGGAACTTCAGGGTTAATATACGACCCTTTTTGCTGTGGACTCCGCTTCCTCCAAAACATTTCCTTTATGCTCATCTCGGGAAAGTATATCAATGACATCTTGAACAGGAAGTCTTGCCATTTCCTCAGCCACTGACACGGTTTCATGTGTGCACCGATTCAAGATGTCCTTAAACCACTGTCATCCTGACCGTCACCTGCACGTGATTATCCCATTACGTAAGGTGCATTCAAACAGGGCTCAGTCCAGTCAGACAGACTTCAGGATTCAGTTTAAATATGTAAGACCCAGATGAGGCAGACAACAACATGTTATTTGCCTCAACAAGGATGAAAACAGAACAAAAAACTAAAAGAAGAAGTGCATTATAATTTATAGAAAGTCTAAACGAGGCAGGTAATTGGTAATGTCTGATCAAAAGACTGTTCAATACAATACTGACTGTCAGCGTTTATACAACTAAAAATACATTAACAGAAATTGTAATCAAAAGCATTATTGTTTTTGGAATTTGTATCCCAAATATGAAAAATGTAACAAATTTCAGTTTGTATTTTAGGAAAAAAAGAAGAGAAAAGTCTGATTTACAGTCACAGTAAGTGACTAAATTAACCAAATATTTGTTTATTTAGGCTTTTTTTCTTATCAAACAAGGACCGGATAGATTCATAAATACATATGAATTTGTTAGGTTTTTTATTTCGATTAACCCTTAATTTCAAAGCTAAGGCAAATACTCATAAATCAAATTCAGTCACATAATCTTTTAAAAAGCTTTTAATACCTCGATGCTCTTAGAATTTTCAATTCATTGAATGTGAGCACATATTTCTCGTTACACTGAGAGAAATGCTGTGTGATTTAAGGGAGATTTGCTTTGCGTGGAGCTTATGCCTTTATTTGCCGGTTGCAAACACAGCCAGGTAGTGCTGATAAATTTCACATGCACAGCTGAAAACATTGCCTGGAGCGCAACATGACTGCCTTTTTAAGCTGTGTTCTCGCATGCTTGATGGCACAATAGAGTGCTCTCCTCCAAAAGTTATAAATATTATCAGTTTAAGCTTTTGCACTCTCGGATTTCTATTTTTTTCCTATTCTTGCCAGTTAATTAGTTCTTCGTGTGAGAAGTTTCTGGCCGATCTGACAATGAGCCGATTGACTGATAAACCCAGTAAACACCAGATTCTGGCTTTTGAAATTGAATGTGTTTCACGGATAAAAAGAAAATAACATTTAAAAAGAGAACGCTGCCTTTAATCATGGCACATTAAACAAAACCAGTTGAGATTTTGATATATGACGTCTTTAAAAGTTAGGGGTAAGCTATTGTGAATCCATTGTTTATTCTCATTAGGTTTTATTTATGGAATTATTTGAATACAAAGCTGCAATTACAGTTACCATTTTTATTCTAAGTTTGTTAAAACGATTAGTGAATATAAACTCAAGTAAAAAAGAAGGTACACTCAGTTCTATGTATCAGGATATCTTCTTTTTTTTTATCCAATCCTCACCTGCCAATAGATCATCTAAATATAACCTCTAAAGAACAAGAGAATTGTTCCCATTTCATCATCTTTTTATAAAAAAAAACAGTCAAAATGCAAAAGGAGTTTGTGAAAAACTAACCTTAGCACACGATTCTAGCTTGTAGAACCTCCTGTGACAGCAATAACTTGAAGTAATTGTTTGACATATGACGTCACGGGTCATTCCCTTTCCTGCGGAGGAAATCTGTCCAATTTTTCTTGACGCCGTTGCTTCAGTTCACTGATGTTTGTGGACATTTATTAATTCCCAGCACACTTCAAATCTCACCACAGCATTCCTCTCAATGATTGGGCTGATCCTTGACCGGAAAATATCGGCACTTTGATTCTGACAGACATTCTCTTGTGGACTGGCTGCTGGCTGTGGGATCATTGTTGGGTTGTTTGACTATTTTCAGACACGCTTTAGCTGTCAGAGAGATGGCCACACATTTGAATTTGGAATACTTTGGCATTCAGAGGAGTTGATGTTTAACTCAGAGACTGGAGGGCACACAGGCTCAAACTTTAATCAGCACACCTTAACCCCTGTGTTTCACAACCATTATGATAGTGAAAGTGTTTGGATGGAAACAAAAGGGGGACATTCTTCTTCAGTCTTATTAATATTTGCACAGTCATGAACTTTAACCTTTAAATCGATATTTGAGACAAAACTTGAAGTGAACCTACTTGGATGCTCACTCCTGAAAGGTTTAATTCTGAACAAAATTCCCAAAATATGCAGTAAACTATGTGGCGTTACTCACTTAAGCTTCTTTTTGTTTAATTTCAATACCTGACCAGATCTGTTTAAAATCCTAATATGCAAAAATGTACCAACTGAAACCAAGTTTGTTTTTTTTACACTCCTGTACAGTCCAAAAAAGGAGAGACTGCTGTGATTATACTTTGTCAAACTGATACAGTATGAGTTCATTTATCTATCAAAATGTCAACTGACGTGTTGTTTTTTTAAACTCTCGCATTCTTTTCCAAATGAGATTTTCTTTCTCACCAAAACAAAATGTGTGGGAAATTGTGTCTATTTAGTCCAATCTGAAACACGCATTGGCCTGTTAACTGCTCTGTATCACTGTAGCACAGTGATTTCACGGTGTTAAATGTCACACTGTGCTGAATCTTTAGCACTTAAAAATATTTTGAGAAGTAAAGCTCCAGTTTAGATGAAAGAACTTACCGGGTTAATGATTTAAAACAATGTTTTGTGCTTTTTTGTTACATTGAGATTGTAATTAAACTCGTAATCTATGAAATCATTGAGGGGAAAACAAGCCACAGTTGGTGTCATTTTGCAGTACTTTGTAGCAAATGTGCTTTTAAGCACTTGTAACATTACCGGTGGTCACACAACCATTTGCCTACGCAGTAATGTTTTCTGTTGGATTCGCAAGATTAAATAACATCTCATGCAGAGCCTTGTCACAGTTTGCTACTACCATATTTGGTATTCAATGCCTGCCAGGTGGGATTAAATTGCCAGGTAATGTTAGATCATCATAGTAAATGTGTAATTTGGTCAGCAACATGGCTACCAAGGAACTGTGACTTTCACATGATGAAAACATTATCTACCTGTCACCCCTGACAAGATCATTCTTACCATCTTGTCCCCGCATAAGGACATAGGATAAAAAGAAATACAGATTTGGTCCTTTGGAAATGGTGAGGATATTGTGGCACCATAATTCCTGTTCTGAGTTTCAAATAGCAGGCATCCACCTTGAGGGGAATAAACACATCTATGCTTGAGCCCATTAAGAAGCACATAGAGGAGAGTATTCTATTGTGTAAGAATCAAAGAAACATCTCTACCAATGTGTGATGGTGGACCCTCAAAGCATTCAAATTGTACTCTACAGAATTAGGACATCGTGTTAAAAAAATGTGAAAACCTTTCTATTACTTAATCAAAAACTCAGTTCTGTGGATTGCTGCTATTGAATTCTATGGCATGTTTGAAGTTCTCTATTATGTGATCAAGAAAATTAAGGATACATGAGGAAAAATACCCTCAAACTGATAAAATGAATTACAATTTTACAAAACATTATTTTTACATTACAAATGCATGACAAAACTTGATGTACACATTTTTTATGCCTTTTGACCGGTATAGTGACAGTTTAACGTTTATTAACTTAATTTATTTTTCCTCGTTCAAAAGTCATTATGTAAATCGTCTTATTCTTATGACCAACAAACACGTATCACTGCGAGTAGCTTATGTAAAGGTGAATACCACCACGGTGTGGTGAAATTGAGCTATTGCACATCTAGTCTCCCGTGTGTCGTAAACTAAGATTTTGCATTGATCGCTGTCGCCAATTGGTGAATCAAAGCAGTCAATCCAGTACGCTAACTTCTGATTGGCTTCTTGACTATCCAATCCCAAGCCACTTTCATGAGCATACATCGTTAGCTTGAAGCTAATTCTGAATTGAAAGTGAATCAACTCCGACAATCAACAGGTTTGATTTTGTTTTTTTATTATAATTTGACCATGAATTACTCAAATTTTCCTATTAACTGGCGTTAAACACTCACATACCGATATACGTTATACGTCTTATATTCGTCTCTTAGGTCGGCAGTTAAATTACTTAAAATATGTACTGTGCTGGACTTTTAGCAATTGCTAACTAGCATTAAGTTAACAATGTCAACGGTTTTCCGTTTATTTTAGACTCCTACATAAATATCCGAGCGTGTAGAACTTTGCATTTTGCTTCGCTATAATAGCGGTCCCTGATGTGGTCGGGCTCTACCGCACATTGATTTTAAATGTGGCGGTTTGCATCATTGGTGAAGTGACGACGTGGGAGGCGCAGCTCACAGCTATCCGAAGCGAGATAATGTTGCTAGGCAACAATTAACCTGCAATATTAATGTTGGTTTAAGAAAAAAACAATATTTAGTTGATACAGTGCATATTTTCAACACCCAATAAGACTGGGGAATGATTATATTTGTGATAATGTTTTGTTCTGATCATTAGCTAAGCGAACCTTTAGCAGGTATCATTTGTACAGTTGGTCACCATGGTAACGCCCCTGAAGCTTCAGCGCTAGCTACTTTAAAGCTCAACTGACCTAAGCTAATGCAGTTAACGGTTGTGTGCGTGTGAATCGTGAAAATTAATGCAAGAAGGAAACTTTAACGTGTGTCTTTTTTCAGAGTGGCCACCTTTGCAGAATGTAAGAAGACGTCCTGCTTTAACGTATGCTCCACTTAGCCCCATTAAGAAACCTGCTGTTAGCTTGATAGCTATGTTTTACCGTCACCTAACACTGCGTTGGAGTAACAAGATACCACTCAGAATGCGTATTACCTCTTGATATGAGGAAGTGGGCAGTTAGGGGTCGACAGCCACGTCGCGTTATGTTACGGTTTGACGATCTGTAATTGTGATATTCTTAGATAACCGATACCATCGTGCTCGCTGCGCTATAACGGCATCTAATCCGCTTTGCACGTCTTATTTTAGGGATGGGAGAGTCGCCTGTAGTGACCCTCCAGCAGCAGAAGGGTGGAAGATTGTGACGGCTCAGAAGCAATGTTGGGCTGCCATATAAGATGAAGAAGATTTTTAGCTTTACTAAGAAAAAGAAGCTTGGTACCCCTGACAATGGAAGTGTTCTTTCTGTTGGCTATGACCTGAAAGACAAGGATTTAGGGAAGCTTCACAAGGCTGCCTTACAGGGTGATTTGGCTAAACTGAAGCAGCTTTCAAAGAAGAATGACATCAATCAACTTGACAAGGAGAACAGGTAAGTAACAAGCACTTGTTGGCCTGTTCTCAAACATTGTCATTGTTTTTTATTCTCCAGCCCACATCATTAATTTATTTTGTGTACATTGTATACATGCAGCATAGCACTGGTGTATTTTGTTCTGACACTGCCTCATTTTAAATTCACACTACTGTAGAGTACTAAATGAAATGCACACCCTATTGTTTCTGTTCCACTTGTGTTTCAAGGGAGGATTTAGTTACAATTTAAAAAATCATGTCAGAGTGCTGTAAGAGAAGCAAGTGATAGATGCTTTTACAGAGTAGGTTGTACTTAACAGAAGATTGTATTTAAACTTGAATGACACACAATGACATGAAAAATACCAAACTCTTAAATGAAGCCCTAAATAATAAACTCATCACTTCTTTTCTCTCAACTTTACTGTTGCAGAACGGCACTTCATATCGCCTGTGCCAGTGGTCATGTTGAGGTGGTGCAGTTCCTCGTTGAGAGCAAAGCCAAGCTTAACCTATGCGACAATCAAAATAGATCCGCCTTAATGAAGGTAATCCTGGATGGTGGTGCTCAAAGATAGAGTAAATCTTTGATAAATGTAGTTTTTTTCCCTCTTGTACTATTTCCAGGTTTGCGTCAATACTTTGCTCTGAATTTCTGTCAAACTTTCAGGCGGTGCAGGGCCAGCATGAGCGCTGTGTGAGTGTATTGTTGGAGAACCACGCTGAGCCTAACCTGGTGGACATCAATGGCAATACAGCCCTTCATTTAGCGGCAAACATCCCATCCATGTCCATCACTGTGTTGTTGCTGCAGCATGGGGCTGAAATCAACACCCAGAATAAGGTGATCCCATGCTCCTTGATTTCTGAAACCCAAATTATTCAAAATACTTTTATTCATTATTTCCCCTTAAGTTTCACTCCTTTGCATTTTTTTTTAAAGTGCATGTCTAGGGGAAGGTGAACTGTACTTATTGCCCTTGTTTTTAAATATTGTTTGTAAGCCAACATCTTGCTTTGATGTTGGTTAAAGCTTTGAATATGATCCTTGATATAGGAGGGGTTCACACCCTTGACTGTAGCAGTCCGCGAGGACCATATCGAGATGGCTGAGTTTCTCCTCAAGGAGACGGCTGATGTGAATTCTGTGGACCAAGACCAAAGGTCAATATTAAATAACAAATCACCTGTCATAAACACTTGATAATATGTCCTTTTTGTTTACTGCAAGTGGGCTACTGATGAATTTGACCTTTTCACCTGCAGGTCATCATTAATGTTAGCTGCTGGCAATGGACAAATCAGTATGGTGAAGCTGCTGCTGCAGTACAATGCAGACAGCACACTCAAGGATACCAAAGGGTGGTCAGCTGATGACTATGCTGTGATGAATGGCCATCATCCGTAAGCCTCTCTTTGTTGTTATGGTGTTTAGCTCTCTCTGTAATTTCAAGCAGTGACACGTCTGCTTAAGCTGCAACTTTGTTTTCCTGTTTGAAGAACTTTGACATTTGAATCTCTTGTCCCTTTTGCAGTTGTTCTCTGCTAATAATAGAGCGCGGTACCCAAAGGGCTGATGGAGCCTCGGTGTCACGCCAGGGTCAGAGCAAGAAGAAAAAAATGTTGGGCAGTCCTTCCCATGACGGTGAGGCGGGCTTCTCTTTGGGAGGACCAGCCACTGATAAAGATGGTAGGCAGCTTTCATTCATGTGATACTAAATAAAAAGTGATTGCTACTGTGTGTTCATCACTGACTGGCCGTTCTATTTATTCCTCATGCATAACCTATTGACTGGATCTAGAGCATGGAGCAAATGAAGCAGGGGGAGGTACTATGCAAATTGGATGAAGAGTGTTAGTTTTTTGCAATTAGAGATGATTAGCTGTCACTCACAATGGATTTCAGTTCTCTTACTTTCAAACAGTGCCCTTAGTCCCCCTTTGACTGCTCGGTTTTTGGTTCCATGTTCATTTTGCTTTTTAAGATTTAGATGCTCTCAAGCTCATTCTATTTCACAATTTACATATTGGATTGTGTGTTGTGGAAATAAACTGAAACGAGAATAAGTTTAAAATGAGATATTTTGCTTTGTTGCAGATTTCGAGGACAATTCCCTGTCGGAATCATTGAGTCGGTGAGTTTAGTTTTCTCACTGCAATTCTTAGAATACATTAATCTGCATCCATTATGTCAGCTCTAAGTTATGTGTTCCTTCCACAGAGTTTCGAAAAGTGCTGTTGATGAATGGGCTTCATCAGAGGATGAAGATGAATCTGTTTTAATTGAAAAGGTTGGGGCTCGACATTTTTGTCAAATGACTTTATTGATTGTCATTTTCCTGACCTGTTATTCTGTGTTCTGTTGTTCAGAAACCACTAAAGGTAAACCTGAGCAAAATGATTGGATCTAAAAAGGGAAAAGGTACCAAGACTCTTTTAAACCTCTGTTCCTTACAGCATATGTGTCTCCATAGCTGTTAGTGTTTGGAGCTAATCTGTTCTCCCTGCCTGACCTGTAGCCTCTGCTCTTCGTGACACATCCTCGAGTGGCACGGAATCAGAGCCAGAGAGTCACGATAGAGTCCAGAGAATCCCCTCCCTTCCAAAGGCTTTGTTCTCCAGCAAAACCATGCAGCACCCAGTAGATCCCCCTCCTCCCTCCTTCCTTTCCAAATCACCTCAGATGACTTCCACTCCTCGTCCAACATACACAAAGGTAAAATATGTATGTCGGCTAGTTGCATGTCTGTGACACCTTTCTCTCCTTCTATTTTTTTCTCCAAAATGCTAAAACATAACTCAGCTGAGAGGGGGGAAAGGAAGGACTCAGAGAAGCCCTCGGGCAGTAAGAAAATGCCAGAGTCTCCAGAAGGAAGCTCAACAGGAGAGGACTCTGAGGAGGAAGCTGGAGAGGAAGAAGAAGATGATAACGAAGAAGAAGAAGAAGAAGAGGAGGAGGAGGAGGAGGAGGAAGAAGAAGAAGAGGATGATGATGAAGATGAGGATGAAGATGAGGATGAAGAGGACGAGAATGAGGACGAAGAAGATGATGAGGAAAGTGAAGAAGGAGAAGAGGATGCATCTGTGGAGGAGGATGAAGGGGCTGCCGTCACAGCCGTGCCTGCTGACTCAGATTTGCCGAAACCCTCCGTTACCGTCGTCCTCAGCTCCGAAACTCCCAGCACCGATGTCTGTCCCGACGGCGGGGCAACCGTCCGAGTTGAAAGTGCGAGGGATGACGCTGAAGCAAAGACTGAAAACCCCGAGCCCAACAGCCCCCCTGCAAAAGCCGCTTGTGCTACACCAGCAACATTAGATGTCGAGGAGGATTGCGTCGTGTCAGCCATTAGAGTCGAGTCGAAGTTTTCTGACGAAGACGAGAGTGTTGGGAGGGAATTAAAAAGGTCATTGGATCAAAACATGTTTTCAGACCAAAGTTCCACAGAGGGCGTTGTGCCACCCATGCTGCGCACGGACACCCTGTCGCCTTGCGTGGCCAATGAGGAGGATTCAGAGAAAGAAACAGAAAAGGATGGCGATGACTCCTGGAAAAAGCAGAAGAGCGGTGATGATGATACTTGGAACGACAGTGACAACGAGGAGGACAACAAAACTGAAGGATTTGGTGTCAGCCCCTTGGTTTCTTATCAAAGAACCGTGTTAGCTAAGATTAATACAGAGCGTCCGGACATTGGGTCAGACGCAGAAGATGGTTCCGGATCACGAAGATTGGTCTTGAAAGGAGAGAAACGTAGGACCTCTTGGGGCTCATCATTGGAGGGCAGTGACACAGATCTACCCAAAGAGAGTGAGGTGCACAGTGAGAAAAATAAACAGGAAAGCCAAGTCAAAGAACAGGATTTGCAGCCAGAAGCCGTTTCATTGCCTTCTAAACGAGCTGTAACTCCAAATGAAGACCAGCCCGATACCTCATGGGATTCTTCATCACCCATGGTGCCATCTACAAAACCAAAGCCATCAGCACATGAACAGAAGTCATGTGCTGGACCAAGCTCAGCAAACTCTGCACAATCCACAGTCACACCAGCTGTAGACGAATCTCAGTGGGATTCTTCTGATAATAATGACCAAAATTACTCAAACCCTGTCACCGCTTGTGAAACTCAATTGACAGATAATGTTATTACAGCAGCCCAAACTGCAGATCAGGACAGAAGCTTTTTGGAGGAAGAAGATAGAGAAAGTATTGAGAAAGAGTCAGATGACCCTTCCCCTGTAGTTTCAATTGTACCTGAAGATGAGGATGGAATCCAAGCACTTGAGGACTCTGATACAGAGGCAGGAGCTCACCTGCCACACATACAAGGAAAGTCAGACTCAGAGAAGGAGGACGAGGATAGTCGTTGGGATGACGAAGATGAAAGTGATGACTCCAAACAGCAGAATGAGATGAAGATGACAACTTATTGTGAACCGCCCACTGGTGCCATAGACACCGAGACAGCAGAGGAGGCGAAGACAGACGGTGTCCAGAGCGATGACGACAAGGAAGTGGTCCCCCGCTCTGTTACCCATGGAGATGATGAGTCAGAGCCGGAGGAAGAAAAGGTGGCGACTCAGATGAAACCTGGTCAGAGCAAAGACGACGACAAGTCGAGTGAGGATTCCGACAGCGAGCATCGCAACCTGCAGTACGACTTCATCAGCTCCACGGTCAAAAGGCTGGACGTGAGGGCGGATTCTGGTGACGCCGCTGACGTGTGTCTGCCTGCAGGTGGCAGCTCGGTTGACGACCACGGAGCTATACTGACATCCTATGTTCCACTTGAAAATAAAAGTGCCATTGTTACTGAAACCAAAGAGCCATCAGATGGCTTTAACCAAAGCCAGAGTCCGTTTTCAAGCCCCTCCGCTAAAGATAACGACATCACCAGTCAACACAACGATTCACCGTGTGACGAGCTGCCTCAGACTGATATTGATGATGTTGATGTAGACTCTGATGAGGTAGAGAGCACAGGCATGAGCTGCCATAAGCTCAAAGACACAGAAGAGGCAGACCCTCAGGTAAAACAGAATCTTATCCACTGTAGAATGTAGCATAATATTTACCTCTGTAAACACCTTCAGCTGCTGTTGTTTCATGAGCTTGTTCCTGGGTTTGTGTTCCGTTGTGCTCAGTCACTATGCTTGTAATTGCATTATTACTGCAGTAGTTGCAATATATTGAATTTTTACACAGAAAGAATATTCCACTGAGGATGAAGATGATGATGACGAGGATGACAAAGAGGAAGATGAGGTTGAAGAAGAGGAGGATGGAGATGTATCGGAAGAGAATGATCAGACTGAAGACAATGCAGAGCGTGCTGATGCCACTTCTCCTATTCCTGAAGCGGAGGTCTGTAAGGATAAAAAAAGAGGTAAGATATGGTTCTTTCCTTAAAAAAAAGAAAAAAACAGAACTAAAACTGCATCTTTATTAAGGAAGCATTTGTGGACTCTAAACATGAGAGACAGAGATATCTGAAAAGCAGTACTTTTTTTAACTGATACATAATTCAGGTATAGTGTTTTGCACTAACTGGCAAGCCAAGCCTTTCTCTTACACTGTGGTGACAGCCTGACCAGATATGAATGAATCTACTGATGGTAAAATGAACTAGCTCTAACTTTTCCACTTTCCGATTAGATTTTCTTTCTGAGCTCGGTTTGGAGGAAGGTGAAGAAGATTCATGGGACTCTGAGGTGAGTTAAGAACAAATTGAAAACGCTTTTAGGCTAAGAAGTTTAGCGCTGCAGCTTCTAAGACATGTTTCTCTCCTCTATAGTCACATTCTGAAAAGTTTAACTTACCATCCGAAGAGAGGCAAAGTTTGCACATCCAGAATCCTGAAGTGACCTCTAATGAAGAAGCACCAAGAGAAAGTAGGTCTATTTCACTGCTTTTTCTTTTTGTTAATGGAACCACATCATCTCAGGCACCATTCCATGCAGGGGAAACGCTGACCTTCCTGTTCTTTAACAGCGCTTTGTTTGTTGATCGATTAATTCAATTTGTCTGAAAAACTGTCCAGGCTTCCTGTTTCCAGCATTCATGCAGCGCGACGCCTTTACTTTCAGCGAAAGCCACCTTTACAACAATTTCTTGCCTTTCTTTCGTAGACTTGTTGTACATTCCTTCTTTTTTAAGAGGGAAAGGAGGCAGTAGGATGGGAGAGCTAGAGCCTCGCAGGAGTGTAGGCAAGCCAGCAGGCATTCAGGGAGAGGGTATGGAAGTCTTGATTCATGGGTTCACGCTTACCATAACAGAGGCCTCACCATCAATTCATGATCAGCATTTGGAAACGCATGCAACGCTCCATCCTGCCTGCTGCCAATGAGCACCATTCTTTCCCCTAATATGGATCTACGTAACTCACTCATTTAATAGTTGTATTAATAATCGTAGAAATCTTTGCCGATACTGGGCTATCCCAATAAAGCTGTAACTAACTCTCCACGGTTAGCTGATGCATGGGCATGTACATGTTGGTTAACCTTCAACTCATTCGCATGAAAATGCTTTGGACGCTGCTCTGGTAACATCACTGCACCTCATCAGGAGTAGCCGCTTAGCCGTTTACAAGGCGCACCAATTTGTAACTGACATGTCCTTTCGTAGCTGGAAACGACAGTACTCAGGATCAGAGAGGAGAACCCATTCATGAACACGATGGGACACCAAAAGAGGTGAGAAACGCCACTGATGAAGTAAATAGTTAAATCTGCCAGTTTCAAACTAAATCATTTTTATGTTCTACCAGAATGACAAAGCAAAATGGGAGCCTCTGAGTGTCCTAAGCAAACTCGATGGAGGTTTTGACCAAAACAAAGGTAAACAGAATGACGTTTACAAAAATCCAAATCAATTTGATAAAGTATTCCGTATGTAATGCCGTGATTCATCTCAATTTAACAGACCTAATGGAAGAACTCGGTCTGGGTGATGTTGATGATCTTGAGGGTAAGATGAAATATTGTATTTTCCTCTTAGATGCATTATCTTCATAATCTTAAACGCTTGTGCTTTTTTACTGTATGCAGTATATATATATATTATAGTGTCCGAGTGTTTCACCTATTTACTGTTTTGAGCTTTGATAAGTCTCTTTGCATCAATTTTTTCCATCCTCTCACTTTGTGAAGCTCGAAAAGCAGGTCAGTAAAGATAAACAAATTTAGCTGAGGAAAAAAGTATCACTAGAAGTATAAAAACTGTAGAGTAGCGCAGTATTTTAAAAGCTTATCCCAGATCCCCTGTGGCCATGCGTTAGGCTCTTTGCTAATCAAGGTGTGTGTGCACTCAAAGCATGGGGATTCAATGGTTAGAACTGTGTAAACTGAGTTAATGGCATTTTCATTCCCACTTACTGACACAGTTTTTTGTGTCAATGGTCCAGATGCATCAGACTGGGATACAGCCAGCACTACCAGTAAAAGGACCCTGCCTGGACGCAGAATGGCCTCTCCTGGGCTTGAAGACTTTCCCGAGGGCTCCAATTCGTCTCTTAGGGAGAGGAAAGAAGACGCAGCAGCTGCAGCCCCCACAACACTTCCGAGAAGCGTCAGTCCTGATGTGACACTGCCGAGCTCCCCCTCTAAAGCTGCCCCCCAGCCCCAGCCTCGTACAAGGAAGATGGTGACTCAGAAACCAGAGAGCGAAGAAGGTAAGCGTGGTCCAGTGCTCAGTGCTTGTGCATGCTTCTCCGGCACAGTATCCAGGCTTATTTAAGTGGGTTTGTCTCCCCCGTCAGAATCGGAAAGGGAGCCACCCCACACTTCTCCCACTGGCAGTCAGCTACAAAAAACAGCAGAGCCTCCAGAGGAGGTTAAAGAAGGTAAAGCTCATTGGGGGTTTTAAACTGGCCTGCTAGGTGCACGTCCCATGTTCAAGGCAATGCCGTCTCCTCCTCAGGTTCCCCGGAGCCTGTTTTGATGGAAGAGGACATTAACCCTAGGTCAGAGTTTGTTGAACAAGAGGTGAGAAGCTTTTAGAAAATTTTCACTTGCTGACTTCTGCTGATACTGTGACGCACTCATACTTTGCCAGTGTCAGAACACATCAACAGATCTATTTCGGTAAATATGTCCGTACATTGTTGTGTCAGTGCTTTGGGATGAGGCTCATCTTTTCAAGACAAATACATGTGAAAATGCTGTACATTGACACTACTTTGCAGACCAGTACCTGTTCTTTTGGAGGGGTAAGGGTTGTATTTTAGTTAGTAAATGCGTTTTTTCATCTGTCACCCCAAAAAATTATTTTTGTCCATGTGGGACAATGGCTAATGCTACTATACGAGCTGTTCTCAAACCGCAGGGGGGTGTGACGCTAACATCAGTTGAGCCCAAAGACTAAACCAATGAAACCAGTGAATATCGGAGGACTCAGACTCAATCGGGGGTGATGAAATTAAGATAATAAGCAGGGAACAAACAAAAAACTATCACAGGGGCAAAACAATGAAAAGGCAGCTTTTCAAGAACAACCAGAACAAGCCGATATGTGAATAAATCTGACAAAGCATATCTTGCTCTGGCCGTAGCCAAAAAAAGTTTGCGACTCTGCACTTTACAGACAACCCACTGAGACCCCTCTGTGGCAAAAACACCCGCAGAGATCTAGCTATTCACATATCTCAAACTCAAATGGCCAGCCAGTTGTGGCTTTTCGCTGAAAAACTTGATAACATAGTTCCATTGCCAGCATGTTTGTTTGAATATCGTGTCAATGCTCGGTTTTAGCATTTTTGTCTTTGTGTCTTTTGTGTCCTCCCTTGTCCCCTCATGCCATCAAAGGAGAAAGACGATGCAGTAGATAGATGTGAGGTGGCTCTGAATAACTCTGGCCAAGGGGAGGATGGCTCTAAAGACGATCAGTGCAGTGGTGTGCACAGAGCTGGTGGGGGTGACGATGTTCCGTGGGAGAACCGTTATGAGAAGCTCTGGGTAGAGGTGGAGAAAAAAGACGTCAAGTCCACCTTCAGGAGTGTCGCCGGGGAATTAAAGGAGAAGTTCGGAGAACTGTTCAAGTCAAGACAATCATTGGTGAACACGATCGAAGAGGCCGCGTCCACCTCAGGAGAGGAAGAGTCAAGTGATGAAGAAGAGGGGCATGTTATCCTTCGCCCTACAGCCAGAGCAAGGAGCACGGTCCTGCTCACCATACCTGAGCAGAGGGAGTCTGGACTGGAGGACTCTGAAGCAGAGTCACTCGACAACTCCTTCTGCAAGGAAAGGATGCAGGACTGTGAGCAGCCTCATGAGGACTGCAGTATTCTTCAGGAACCGGATCCTGTCACTGATAACGCGCCGGGATCTGCCTCACACCTGCTCACAACAGTAAAGGAGGGCATAGACAACGTGGATCACTCAGCAAAAACTTCAGCTGACCACAACGCCAACCCTGCTTGTGCTGACAGCTTAAAGGATAAGGGCGATCAGCATGTGCAGCCAACCTTTAAACACCCAACTGTGGACTCAAAGGAAGACGATAGTAGCACTAGGAGGCTAGAGGAGTTAGCCACACCTCAGCCTCCCTCACAAAGCAGACATCCCAATGTGTCTGAGGAAGATCTGGAAGAGGACCCAGAAAAGTTTAAACTTGAGGTAGGGATCTGAAGATTTTTTTCCTCACTTTGGAGGGAAAAAAGGCCAATATCTGCAAAGAGGTAGAGGATGATCGCCCGTCCTATAGTCCTTTCTAGAATGCATCTCTTTCAATATATTTTTTTTTCATTTGATTTCACTCATTATCTTGATCTCTTTTTTTTTTTTTTCTCACCTGTGTTGTGAAACTGTGATTATGGCTCATTTTGTCCTCCATACATATTTTATGTCACTTTGAACCAAAATGAAGGGATTTGTAGTTTGGAGGTTTCCAATTTCAGCAACATTTTTACATATAAAAAGAAATGTTTGGTTCAGATTTTGAACAAAAAATACATCCTGATTGGCAAGTTCCTCCTAAGCTACCTGAGCTTCTGTCTCGTGTGTTCTTTTGTTGTGACTCGTCATATTGTGCAAAGACTTTGCATGTTTCCATTCATCCATCTATCCATTATCATTACCCCTTATTCCCTAATGGGGTCGAGGGGGGAACTGGAGCCCATCCCAGTGGTCAGTGGGCGAGAGGCAGGGTACACCCTGGACGCTGCATGTTTACATTGACTATACAGCTCTCTTTAAGGCCTGAAGACAAGATTTTCTAAATGCTAAAGCTATTTGTGTTTGTTCTCCTTCTGTTTATTTATCTAATGCATGCTGGGTTTTTTTGTTTGTTTGTTTTTTTTCTGTACATGCAAAGTTTTCTTTTCTAGAGGCAGAATCTCTTTTTAGTCAGTCTTTTGTGTCTCAGTGTTGGAGGAAAGAAATCACACTTGTGGATTATTTTTCTCAATTGAATTCATAAAGAGAACAGCTACATCTGGAATGCTCACATGGAATGTGATGTGTTTCTCCTATTTGAAATTGCACAGATGTTGGTAAATCCTACCAACATCTGTCCCAAAGCACTTGCTTTTCATATCGGAATTTTTCGCAGTGAACTTTGTTTTAATAGAATTTGGCATACTTTTAAATAACAGAAAATATCTTAATAGAGTTACAACCCGGAGGTGTTAGGTCTCAAACAGGACGGTGACACTAAATTATGTATGAGAAAGTGTACAAGTGCCTTCTCCAAAATGCATCTTAAAAAGCCGGCAGCAGTCTCTCTCCCAGCCAGACCAGTCTCTCTCAACTCAACTCAAATACTAAATGCCATGTTTTCTTTTCAGGCCGATAAGGGAACGGCACAGTCTGTTGTGGAGGTTCAAAAATCTAGTCCTTCCCGGGATAGTTGTGGAACAACACAGGGAGAAGTTGGCTCTGAGAAACCTGAGACTGCTTTGAGCTGCCTGTCAAGTCAAGCTGAAGCAATTCATCAGGACCAGCCGCCCGTTGCCGCCAAGAGGTAAAATAGAGTTTGACTTTTGCAGTTTTTGTGCATTTTTAAACTCTGACATTCGTCTTTAAAAGAGGGGGAACATCACTGACAATTCCAAATAAATACAGAATCATCTTATATTCACATGTTGCTGTACAGAAATTATTTCTTAGCTCCTTTTTTGTAGTTGCATGTTGTTTTTCCGTCACATTCATCTAACAGACTCCAGTCCAAAAGTTTCTTTAGTTTATTTCGAGATGGTCATTTTTTTCCTGCCGTACCTCTGAACGCCCCAACTTGGAGTGGTCGCAGCTCACTGACTATCAGGTTTATTGCTCTCCGTAGCACCAGCGTGGCTCCAGCGCAGAAACAAGACAATCAAGCTGTAGAGGAGACCTTACAGCAGGAGCTGGTCAGAGGGGCCCGGCGCAGCAGAGCCCCTCAGACCAACACACATGTTAACGGAGATCCTCTCTCTGTGTTTGACGATAGCTCTTTAAGTGAGGTGTCGGACGATGAAGAAAGGTATATATGCAGTATGCCACTTTTGTGCGTCAGTTTCTCTCTTTTCTACTAACCCAAAAGTTATTAGGCCCACCGCAAGGTCCATATGTAAATTGATAAATAAATTGATAATGAGAAATTGATAAATAAAACGATTGGTCAGTTTATGTAGTCTTTTTTGCGGGATATAAGGGTATAAGTTTTAGGTTTAGTAATTGAAAACTGGTTCAATGGAGGAAAACAAGAATGTAGTTATTCATACTTTCTCTGATTGTGTATTTGCATTATTGAATTCTATACACGCATATTTCTAAACACTGAAATACACAATGCGTTCATTCTGATCAAGACTCAACAATATGGGTGCTGGGTTATAATAGCATTTTTTTCCTTATCTATTTTAATTGTTTCCCATCTAAAGAGTTGCATGGCTAACCCGATTAGTGTCCAAAACTTGATTTGTATACTGCATTATACCATTTCTCTTCTTTTTGTCTGTAAAGTTTGTGAACATCAACATCAGTCTGTCTTTTTTTTTTTTTTATCTTTCCCTGCTTGCTCTGCTCAGGATGTCAGCTGGTGGACAACAGAAAGAAAAAGTAAGCACCAAAACCTTGTTAGTATCTGGATAGATGTTTAAAAATAACAAAGAAATTAGGACAGGTCACATTTTTTGTTTCCATGTTCAGACCTCTGGGCAGGAAGAAGTGGACATGGCAGAAGATTTTGACGAACTCACTCAGTCATCTGACACAGCCACAGATGAAATGGACTCGCCCACGTCCGGCTACCGTCATGCGTCCCTCCTCATTCAGAAGCTGGACTCAGCCACTTTTGGTACAGATTCTGTTTTTTAAAAGTTTTCTTTTAAAAGAATTTTAGATATGGACAACATATTCTAAAACATCTGGTATTTTTATTTTTATATTGAGAAAAAACACTTCCACGCCCCTGAGATTTTCTTACATAATAATACGTTTTATCTCACAGACTCGACGAGCATTACAAAGCTGCAGAACATTTTCCATGAGTATGAACGCTCCATCCAAAAGGCAAGAAGTCGCCATGGCTACCTGACAGACAAAGTGGGCCAGTTGGAAACGGAGAGGCAGGAGTTAAAGACCTCCCTGGAGGAAGTTAAAGATATTAAATCTGCACTGGAGCGCAACCAGTTGGAACTTCAGACTGAAGTCACAAACATCAAGTGAGAACTGCCTCTATCTGAAACCAGAAAAAAACACTTTTTATTTGATGGCGTTGACATGATGTATTGGGATTTTAATGGCCTGTGTTCCTCTATTTTACACTTATAGATTTCAGCTGAAACAGGAGCAGGAGAACCGTCGCAATGCCAACATGATGTACAACAGTTCCAGAGAGAAGCTGAGGAAGACAGAGGAGCAGCATCAGCTGGAGGTTCAGGAGAGGCAGAAGGTGGAGCTGACACTCAGAAACCTGGAGCTGGAGATGAGAACACTGATCAACAGCATGAAACAGGTACGGCCTTTTAAATTCCCACTAACTTTATTGCTTTAAAGTAAGTCTCACAGTGATGTCCAATTACATTAAATCAATTAACAGCAAGTAATATGAGATTGATCCAGAATTTTACCTTAATGATTTTTTCCTTTTCCTTTCTTAACGACCAGCTTGAAGAGGACCACAGTGAGACCCAGAGGCTGCTAGCTCAGGAGCGCAGTGCACGTGCTCTGCAGGAAAACCTGCTCAACAGCCACCTGCGAAAGCAGCAAGAGATGGAGGAGCAGAACAAAAGAAGCCTGAGCAAAAGCAACGAGGTCATTCTCATGCATTGTCAAAAAATTGTTTTGGCCCATTTTGAACATTCATGTTTGCACAAATAGTTTGATGCTGATGCTTCGTCACGCCAGTCCTTTTTCGCCCTTTGCTTAATGCGTTGATAGATAGATGATCTAAAAAAAAAACCTGTACTTATGTGGGTGTGACATCTAAATGAGCGTATAGATGTTCTTTAAATAACATACTTCATTATCCTTGGACACCACTTTTTCCTGTTAGTCCTTTTGTTGTTGGTTGTTATTTTTTTACTGCCTTTGGACATGCTGTGTAGTTTTATTTTTTTGATCAAAATGTAAGGATCTACGTGTGATTTAAGTTTTTTCTATTCTGAGAACTGATAATGCAACATTAACTTGATATTTGCTGACGCCTGCAGGCTCTTTCTCAGCTGACTGAGGCCAGTGACAGGGAGAGGGAGCTTCTTCAGCAGACGTCTGCCCTACAGGAGCAGCTGACCACGCTGAGGACCAACCTGGAACGCTCCCAGCAGAGCAGCAGTCTCAAAGAGAGCCACCTTTTGGAGGAGAACGAGGCCCTCAAGGAGCAGCTCGAAGATGTTCGACGAGACCTCAAACTCAGCAACGACGCTGTGACCCAAACGGTCTTCAGCTGCAACAAGCTGAAGTCTGAGTTGGCAATAACCACATCCTGGCTGGAAAATGAGCGCCAGGCTCGCGAAACGGCGGAGGCGGAGGCCGAATCTACTCGCAGCCGACTGGCTGGAGCCCTAAAGGAGGCCGAGCTTCGCCTGGCGGCTCACTCTGAGACGGAGAAAGCTCTGCTCCGGGAGAAAGAGGACCACCAGCGCTTCAAAGACAGGCTTAATGGTCAGTTACTGTTGTAATGTCAAGACAGCCGACGCGTATACTGACCCATATGTATTCATCTCTGAAGGTGAGACGGCCAGCCAGCGCGAGGCCGTCAGCAGCCTGTCCCAGAAGCTGGCCAAGGCAGAGGCCCGGGGGAACAGCCTGGAGAACGAGGTCCATCGGGTCACGCTGCAGCTGACCGAAAAGGGCCTCCTGCTGGATGTCCTCCAGCGGGAGAGGGACCAGGCCACCACGCGCTCCAAGGAGCTGGACGCCACCCTGCAGACCGAGAGGGAGCTGGTGGGCCGCGCCGGGGCCCGCCAGGAAGCCGCGCAAGAACGGCTCGCCCAAGCTCAGAGCGAGGCCATGTTGCTACGCCAACAGCTGGAGGAGGCCCAAAACAAAGGCGTCGCGAAGGAGCGCGCCGTGACGGACGCCCAAGTGCGCTTCAACGACATTCTGACCCAGCTGCGCTCCGACTGTGAGGAGAGGGTTCAGCTGGCAGAGGAGAGGAATAAAGAGCTCGCCAGTAAGGCCGCTGACCTCCGCGAGCAGATTTACAAGATGGAGGAAGAGAAGAGCGAAAGGGAGGTAAGATTAAGGCAGACCAGAGTAAGAAGATTACCCAACTTCTCCTGACCAGACCCACTTTTAGACTTCAATCAAGGATCACCGCCTATATCTGACCACCCCCTGCCTTCCTTTAAATTGTCGGCACAGACCAGTCTGAGGCAGCTGCAGCAGGAGCTCGCTGACTCTCTGAAGAAGCTGTCAATGAGCGAAGCTTCCCTGGAGGTCAACACACGCTATCGTAATGACCTGGAGGAGGAGAAGGCCCGGCTCCTCAAGGACTTGGACAGGCTCAAGGGAAAGGTGAGGGCAGGACAAGGGGACGCCTTGTGGCAATGTTACCTCACCACTCCTCTGAAATGATGAGTGAATGTTTACCAAGTCATAAAAATAAATAAAAACAAAGCAAGCAGAAGTTGCTGAAATGAACTTAGTTGAAACCAGTAGGCGGTGCAAGTGTTACTCATAGGCTGGAGGGTGTTTTTAGCTCAGCTGAGCTCCATGTTCTGTGTGTGTCGCATAGCTTGAGGACAGCGAAGATCAGTATGTGCAGGCGGAGAGACGCATCAACAGTCTGAGGAGCGGTCTGGATGAAAAAGAAAAGGAACTGTCCACTACTGCTCAGAAACTCCAGGAGGCACTGTCTGCCTCCGCAGCCTCCGATCTCACCACCAAGCAGCTGGAGGAAGCCGTGCAGAAGTATGCTCAAACTCGTAGTGCCCTCACAAATACCGGGGTCAAATTCCTCAAATGACTCTGTCTAATTAGAGAAAATAAATCACATATTCCCTCCTCTTAAGCAAAAGCATTTTTGCCACCCTGATCATGTTGTAGTTTTCACACAGTGGCAATGTCTGCTATGCTGAGTGTCATCGTGCTCTCTCGTTAGGCTGGAGATTGAGAATGCCAGACTAGAAGCTGCGGCGAAGCAACAGTCCAACAAAATTGATGCTCTTCAGAAAGGGGCTCAGGAAGCTGCCATGGTGAGTACTGAAAACCGAAGTCAGTGAGCGGACCGCGCTGTGCGTACTCCAGCTGAAAGGTGCCACGACTCCAATCATTTACTCTACATATCGAAAGGAAGTCATTATCACATTCTAAGCTATGCAATCTTTTTCCAGCTAACTGACTGCTCACCTGGAGGAGGGGTTAGTATTGTGGATGTAGGTTTAGCTTCTCTGTGTGGGGCTATTCTTTTCTTGATTTACCCGTATGAATAAAGAGCAATAAAATCACACTCCACATGAGGTGAATTGCCTCTAAGCTTTGTGGCCTCTTAGCACTACCAATTAGACGAGGAATCCAAACATATAGAGGAAGAAATAACTCTGGGCTGGTTTACGTTTCTCTTGGTGACGGACGGGTGTCTCTTCTCCCTTCATCGTCTTGTTTGTCTATGGTGTCTTCTGTTCATTCTTGTCTTTGTTTGAGCTGTGGGATGCATGTTTCTTCTTTCATTAGGGTTTTTCATTTTCCTCTTTCAAAATCATGAACAGGAGGAACAAAAATAAACAGGTTTGTTTTCTTACTAAGCCTTTCCTCTGTCTGTAGGTGCGTGGGCGTCTGGAAGACTTAGTAACCAATCTCCAAAGCAGTAAGATGACTTTAGAAGACCAACTCAATAGAGAGGTCAGTGGTTCATGCATTTTCTTCGCTTTGTATCTTTACTCCACTCTTCTTCCCTACTCTTAAAATAAAAACAGCCAAATGATTGCTTTTTATGACAGATTTAATAATATCAAAGTGAGTTCAAACTGATGGGGAGTCAAAGACAAACTGTCATGAGTCATATTTGTGCTTTTACTTAGGAAACTCTCTTTATAATTGATTCAAATCTTGACCTTGTCTTGTCATCTTTGCAGGTCCAGAAACAAAGCGTGTTGTCTCATACAGCCCAGGACTCTCAGGCCCTGTGGGAGGAGGAGTTGAAAAGCCGCTCAAAGTTGGGTCTGCGTCTGGCAGAGCTGGAAAAGGAGAAGGGGGACCTGAGCACCCAGGTGATCACTCATGTCCCCACAGTGTTTTGTTTTTCTCGTCCTGACATCAACAGATGAATTGGGTCTAAAGAGTTGTTGGCACGTTGCCTGTGTCCCAGATGGAGCTAGAGAAGAGGAAAGCAAAGAAAATCTCTGAGCAGAAGAAGGCCGTTGACGCTCGTCTTGATCAAGAGATGAAAAGAAACACAGAGCTTCAAAAAGAAATGTACAGGTGACTCCTAAGCTCCTCCCTGTGACCTGTGGCTGTACCTCCTGCTTCATAGACCCAGCTAAGACCCAGTAGAACACAATCTATCCTGGTTTATCCTGGAACTCCAAGTATTTGTATCCTTTGTCAAAATGTGCTTTTATAATCTCCCAACACAGCTATTTATTTAGAATGCATTTACCCTCAATAATGTCTGGTTTGTCTTTGGCTCCTCTTGCATTGTTAGAAAATATTGTCTATTTTTCAGTACGTTAAAGAGTCTTAAGTTACCCTTAATTTCTTTTTCAACTTTCATTTAGTCATTTATTAAAACATGAGTTTAACGTAAATGTAAACACTATATTGAAGTTAAAAATCGAAACTTTTTCTTATTTCTTATACATTTTCAACAACCATGTGTCTATAGAGACCATTTAAAACAGTTCTTTCTTAATCTTTACCTAACAAAAGCACACATTACTCTGTGTGAAACTGATGAGATATGAGTAGGGGAGTGGAAGAGCAGCATCCGCCTCAAAAGAACAACTTTCTCATCAAGACTGGTGAATTATTGAACAGGAATATCTCAAAATATTAGAAAATCAAGCTGTTTTCAACAAAAGAAATGAGGGGTAATTCAAGCATTCTGCATTAGAATAGATAAAACAAAACATGCGAAGGTCAGCCAGGAGGAGAGAGATTTCTCCAAACCTGATTTATTCTAATGAGAGAGCAAAGTTTTTGCCGTCTGCAGTAATGCTTCTCGTTTGTGTTGCTTTTGACTATTTTCAGTCGGTCATTGGATCAGTTTATTTCAGTTTTTATCTTCTTGGTGTTTGAAGCGCACTTTGATTCTTTGTTTTTCAGGCTGCGCACGTTGCTGAAGACTGCAAAGAAGAAACTGCGCGATCAAGACGCCGGTGGGGCCGAGTTTGGATCTCCCATGAACAGCCTTCGGATAGACCAGAGCAGGGCCGGTCAGGCAGAGGGTGCCTTTGGGAGAATGAAAGAGAAGGTTTGTCAGTCTGATCCCGGTCCTTATCAGCCAATACCACGCCTCAGGGTTTTGGAATCTTCCCCTTTTAAAGGTGTCCTCCCTGTGTAAGGTGGATGATCTGCAGGTGCAGCTGGAGATGGAATCCTCTCGTCGCAGCCGACTGGAAAAGGTGAACGTGGAGCTTAAGGACCAGTTGGCCTCTGTGAAGAGCCTGAGCCGCAGCAACGACGAGCTGGAGAGGAGTAAGAGGCAGCTGGAGGAGGAGGTCCTGGACCTGAGGCGTCGAATGGAGACCGCTCAGGTGGAGCAAAGTCAGATGGAGCAGTACCGGCGTGAGGCCGAGGAGAGGGCACGGCAAGAGATCCAGCAGAAGCTGGAGCAGGTCAACCTCTTCCTCCAGGTAAAAAGAGAAAGAAGAGCATCAAAATAACTGAGACCTCATCAGCAATCATCTTAACACTGCAAGTCTTTTTGGAATTTGCAAAAGTCACTTTGTTACTCTGAATTTGTCGAGAACAAACAGAAGTGAGAAGTTATCTGAACCACTAAGAACCACTAATTCTTACTGTGAACATCTCCCCATTTTGTAGAGACACAGCCAGCTGCTCTGTCCATTCACCCAAAGAGAAAACACATTTTGACAAATGGAGTTCTACTCAGGGTTCCTCTTAGATAAATGGTTGGAACGTCATCGGATCTGATCCTTTTAGCGCCAAAACAGGGATGTTCATGGGTCAGATTTATGAAATCGAATCCTGTCCCTCTTTAAACGGACAGTAAGTGTTGTAGAGTTTGATCTCCTGTTATAAATGGAGCATTGCCCATCGGCCATTTTAACGGCCAGATTAAAGCACACGAAGAAGAAAACACAAGTTTTTTTAACTAAGCGAAAAGGTAGAATAAGTGCACCTGCTTTCCTGTGCTCATCACGTCCTTAACTAAGACTTCTGGCTTCTCCCAGACTCAGGCAGCCTCCCAGGAAGCGCTAGATCAGATCAAAGCTGCCAACGAGGCGAACCTGCGCTCCCAGCTGGAGCAGAGGATCCGAGAGCTGGAGGGGGATTTGGGCCGGGCCCGCAGCACGCAGCAGGACAGCCTAAACCAAAGGGACTCCACCCGCTCCGAGCTAGAGCGATACCGGCAGCTCTACACGGAGGAGCTGCGCCTCCGCAAGTCGCTGGCGGCTAAACTAGAGAGGTCCGAATGCCCTTTTATTCGATCCCTAAAAGTAGTCCGGAGGAGTGAGCTAACCCGCTGCCTTCCACCCTCAGGTCCAACAGCCGGCTCGCCGAGGCCAACTCCAAGCTGCTGAGCGAGCGCAGCAGGTCTCTCATCACCAGCAACATCACAAACGGGGGCCTGGCGGGGCCCTCGCTGGACCTGGGCACATTTGCTTCTTCAGCGAATTACGGGGCCACACTGGGACCCCTAAACAGGAGCCTGGGCCTGGGGCTGTCCCTCATCAGCCCCGCGACAGAGGGGCAGAACAGCAGGGTGGAGGACTATCTGGCCAAGGTTTGCCACCTTTAGCCATACAGTCGCTCATTAGGTTGTAGAGCTTAGTAATAATTCATGTTTATGTGGGTTACATTATGTTATTGAGCCATTTCCACCATGTTTTCTGTGTTGGTACTGTGTAACCGGTGGAGGTCTGTTCCAAACCATTGTTTTTTGTACGCAAGTTATTCAGTTTCTGCAGGAAAAAAAGTAGAAATCCGACGTGACTAAATAATTTCTTCTCCCTTTTTATTCTTTTCGTTTCTTCCTCCTGAACCTCGTGTCTCTAGTCTTCACAGTAGTACGACACTTCTAACCTGTCTTCTATTTCTCACTCTTTTAGCTTCTAGCTCAAAAGTCTGTCTCTCACCTCTCTTCTCTACAGCCAGACTCATAACCAGGTGTGTAGTTGTGTTTAGTTCGCACACTGACTGGCTGCCCCTGTCCTCCTCCTTCCTGTTGGCCTGACGTTTAGAGCACGTACAGTGAAAAATCAGCACAGTTCCTCTGAGCTCTCCTGATATCAGCACAATCTGTACACGAGTCGAAAGTCACATTACCAAACAAAAAGTCACTAGAGCCATGTGCTGATTTGTCTCTCAGTGATTTACAATTTGTGTTTTAACAGAAAGGAAACATAGAATAAGCACAATACATGACACAGCTAAAGGATTTCTGGCTTCAATTTAATAATCATTTTCTTTAAAAATGTGAATTAAGTGAGAATCCTATCAACAAAAATCCCCCAAATGACTCTTTGCGTGTGCAGATAATTTTTCATGAGATGAGAAAACAGTTACCTCCTTTTCCCCCTTTGTTATTTAGTATATTTAGGATGTAGGGTATGAAACTGTGCTCTAGTTCACTGTATTCATGTTGCTGCAAACATTAAGTCTCATCTCATTATACTCAAAAGATAAAGTCCAATTATATTCTAATTAATTTAATCCAATTCTGATGGAAATTATCATGAATTAGAACTAAATTACAATGAATGTTGAATTTCTGTGTATTTATTTATTTATTTGATGACTCCGCACAGAAATAGAATGAAATTGTTAAAGAAAAAGAATAAGGATAACTTTAATAATTAAGGAACAAAGAAATTTCAGAAATGACAGTGTCTCCTTTAACCCTAGAACAAAAAATTTGTAAGCTCTGTCAAGGAGATTCATTAAAAAAAACAAGAAACTAAATTAAACTGTGAAAATTGTCTAAGCACATTTTGTGGCGTACGTCTTATTAGTTGTGTTTGTACCTTATTAAAGCTTATTAAATGCTGTCTGTTTTCTAAACAATTTAAACAATTTCTTCGATTAATGATACCAACTTATTTTGTAATTTCAGCTTTATTTAACAACAATTTCATCATATCGGTACATTAAATTGGACATTGGGAAAGCGATAAACGTGCGATGACATTAAAATTTCTAAAAGTCTATCATGATAACTCTCTTACGAGCATTTGTTGTTATGTTGAATGTATCCGTGTAGCATAATTTCTACTGTAGCTCCTGTCCCGTAGCAGAAAAAGCTTCTTTTTTTTTTCTCATCGAACAGCCGTCACATCGACACATGGCCTCACACTGAGTCACAGCCGGCATGTTTTGCATGAGCTGCTTTGCTGTTTTTTTTTTTCTCCGACCTCCTATTTTCCACCCCGGTTGTGTTGTAGTCTGAGTTCGTTTCAGTCTCTCACCTTTTGAATGCGGAAAAACTTCTTTCAAAAGTGTTGTTTATCGCTGCTT